TTGATGATCATGGACCTCAATAGGACGATGCACAGTTGACCCTGAAGATATGCTTCCGCATTGTTACTCTTGAGTTCACCTCGGGCGCTCATCACCGGGTTTGGAGTATTGATTACTCAGAATGCTTTCGGTCTACGCGAGGCTCTTCTTGCCACACTGCCGTACGTGCCGTTGTTCTCGGGGGTTCCGCACTCTCGCGACTAAGGAGATGCAACAGGCCGAGGACCGTCTAAGAGTCACCTCATCTGCCGGTATAAGTTCTCGTCGAGGTCGACGTGGTACTACTGGACTTGCCAGATCCCATCGACTTGGCACCGTTCATCCGACAGAGACTTGGGACCCCCAACAGGCCCAACATGGTGGTGCTGCAGGCGGTAGGGATATGGAAAGGAGGAAGGTACACTGATAAGCTCGTCTCTCTGTCAGCTGGGGGCGAACGCTGTTGGGCGAGCTCTGAGGTCAGTGGCTTATGCGGCATCTCGGAAGGGCCAAAACATTCCTCTGGAGGTCACACTCACTGGTCCGCCAGATGACGGTATCCCAGGTAAAGCTTTGCTTCGCTCCGCTCGTGGTGTGTCATTTTCAGCCCTTTTCAGACCGAGGTGGCGGTGATTTGTGGATAGCGGTATCTAGACAAGGCTTTCGGCAGAGACTGCGGGAGAGTCAGGACAGCCCTACAGAGATACAGGACGTTATCGTCGGCCATTCTACGCCGGCACACAAGATGGCTGGGGTCATCACCAACGCTCTGCTACAGGGAAAGACGGTCCGAATGGCGGGTAGGCTGGCACCTGATGGTGGTCAAAATCAAAAGGAACTTTCGCAGGTTTCAGTGCTGCTGGTATAATTAAGATAGCCAATGCCATCACGATATCGAGTCATCACTGTAAGCGTTCAAGGATGGGGATGGCGGTTCTATACTGTATATTTAGGTGAGACCTTTGATGATGTGGAGGAACGCGGAAGGATAGTCACGAGCGTCCGGACGTCCTTGCGGGCCGTCAACGCTCGAGGGACTCCATCAGACCATAGTGGGCTATATTGCGTTATTTTATGACCTCCTAGTTCCCATCAGATGATGAGCAGCACCATGATGAATCGACCGAGGGGGATCAGCACGAAACCACTGTGAGCGCGGATGCTAGTGGGGATGTGATCGCCGAGCCTAATGGTGATGATGCTGGCCACAAAGTCCTCATAACTGCGGTTGAATTTACTTGTAATCTCGTCAAAAACAATGCCGATAGTTGACGTGTTGCAGCATGGCAGCTGATGTGTGTTTCTGATGAACAGTGCGCTCTTGCTTCTTCGTCCATCTCGGCTGAGTGGTAGTTTCTCCAATACCAATGCCTCCCCCCTTACCGTCCCGAGTAGCATTAGGTGGTATGCTGCGAGGGTCGCCTCTCCGCCTCTCCTTCACGCTACCAGCTCCTGCACACCTCGCGCGGTGTCCGCCTTTCGCGATGTGGAGTTTGGTGAACTTTGAATACACCAAATTCTGCCGTAGGAATCCTCACATGATTATTCACAAGTAGCTGCCTCTTGTTATGGTAGATCCCGTCAACGTCTGCGAGATCCTCCCGAAACGCTTCAGGAAGCCCGGCGATATGGCCACGATGCGAGCAGTGGTGATGATCCCTCAGCGGTCTGTACTGTGATCATGCTATCAGGGTATACCAGTGAGAGCTGGCAAGGCCCTCAAGACGTTCATCGACATGTGTCCTAAAGTGCGCAACGGTGGACACATTGAGGTCATCTGTAGTGGGCCGCCGGTACACCCGCCGCTGGCGGACCAGCAACAGGATGAGGAAGGGGAGGAAGGAGGTAGGGTAGGGGTGGCAGGACTGTTGTTATGGTTAAGTCCTGAAATAGGAGGGAGTGGCCAACCTGAGCTTTGGATCCACGGTCGCATCCAACCGCCGAGCCGCTCGGGTGGTCTACAGGCTGGTGAGCCCGTCGAGGTGAAGTTGGAGAAGGGGTGGGAGGTGGACACGGAAGCGGAGAGGCTAGCGGCGATCCTCACGAAGGAGGGCAAACGAGTCAATCTTCGCATTATACTCAGTAGGTCATCATCATCCCTCAAGACCGCCATCAACATGGTCTTGGTAGGTGTTATAGCAACTACGACTAACGTTCGCCTAGCTCTCATTGCGGAGCTCCTCGCTCGAACAGGACGACTGTGTGAGGAAGGGAGGGGGGGGGGGGCTGTGGTGCTCATTGACTCAGTGCAGGTAACAACGTGGAAGGGTATGAGACCCACGAGCTGCTGGCTCATATAAAACCGACGTCCATACAGTTCAAGAGGCGAGGAGGTGCTGAAGGGCTCATGACGTTCGTCCTCTCAATAGCCTTGATACGGAGGGCCTCTATCTCTCTCAGCTCTGAGTGAAATGAAGGACAAACGCGAGAAGGCGGGCACAGTCACCAACCCCGGTGTCGATCTGCTACTGCGTCTGGCGCCGCAGCCTAGTAGTTATAACCCTCTTGTTGCTGAGTGGAAAAATCGTGAGAAAATTGAACTCAAGGCTGCCCGTTGATGCCATGCCATCGTTTCTGGACTACGGCTACTGTCGTGTATTCATTTGCCGTATGTCCCTCCTCATTGTTTCTACCATTGATGATGCTAATTCATCAGCTGTTCCGAGGGGGTCTGCCTTCTAGGACCACCATCGTCCCTCGGTCGCTGTTATCGACTTGTGTCAGCGGTCGTGGGTCGATGCTCCTGAAGCCAGCCGAGCGGGATATGGCAGAGTCCGACTTTCAATTCAGAATAAAGAAAGAGGCTGGTGAGGATTCCGAGTTCACGTAGGGACTACAACGTCCCCTATCTCAGAGCTCAACGAGGTGGTGGTGCTCCTGGCTCATACTTTGAGGAATCAATACAGCACCGTCGTCTTGAGAGGGGTAGGTGGTCAGGACCGGGGCTAAAAGCGTATCATACTCTAGCAAAATTTGATGATATATCCTTGTTTTTATAGTATAGTTTCCTTTCTACTAGAAAGGAGTATATAGTGGTACTAGCGTATAGTAGAAAGTTTCTAGATTAAGGCCAAGTTGAAAAATTCCCCCTTCATTTTTTTGCATGCTAGCCTAGGGTCGTGGGTTCAAATCCCACCGCATCCGGCCACTGTCACGACTACGGCATCTCAGCGGCATCCCAATTCGATACTGATGTCCCTGAAAGCCGTCACAGCGTCAGCCTATCGGGCCAGCAAAGAGATAGACTTGGTCTTCCGAGGGCCGCCTACTGAGTGGCCGACCACCAAACAGAAGGAGGAGTTCGAGCGATGGGCTGAGATGGAAGGAGGGGACGAGATCTGGATAGGAGCCCGGATATCCCTCCGAGGGCCCCCATCTATCCCTTTACAGTCTGAGGATATCCTGGTGCTTCCGGGGATGGGGGCAACTGACCTTGCTAGCAGAATAGAAGGACTTGTCAGAGATGATAAGGATGTCAGGATCACTGGTATGGACGCTGATGTGAGGCGAGCTACTGTGAGTTACTGCTTGCCTCCACTAAGGTCTGGGCCCACGGAGCTGTGCTAACATGGCTACGGCCCTAGCTATGGCCTCTCAGACATGTACGATTGCAGTGTTGATGTCCCTTGGATTCAGTCTGACTAGGCTCCGATTTGGGCGAGCTCATATGCCGGGCAGAATTTATCAAGGTGAACGTGGATCCGAGGAATCACTATCCAGTTGGAGATGGTAGGGGGCTCCTGGTCCGAATTAGGCTGTAGAAATTCGACACTTTCTCGATGAATAACAGCGAGATATCTCGAGTCTGCGATATCACAGCAAGTTGTTCCTTCATACTGCCTATCAGTTATCCCCGATGGACTTGATGTCGAAGATCTGTTGACGGAGTCGGGTGTCCGAGTTTCGGCTATATTAGCAAAGACATGAACTTAGTGTTGTTTCTGAAGGGTATCACTTTGCGTTCAACTCGTTTACATAGTCGAGGCGGTAGCTCTTGTACACGCTGGAACTTGAGATATCATCACTACATGCATCCTTCCATCAAACGCGCCGTTCACGGCAACTCTCACGAAAGGTCAACAAACAACTCGTAACGGTTGAAGCCACACCTCAACCTAACACGCCGACAGTCCGGCTTTTACTGACTAAATCTATACTGTGATACACTATCTATACTGATTTCACTGTGAATCTAACAGGAGTTGTTGATAGACAGGCATGGACCGCTGAAGTGGACGTGACCTCAACGGTACATTTAAACGCGTATGATCCGCGTGTAATACAATCTGGTTTGACTCCGTGCACAAGGTCAATTCAGTAGTGGATACGGTCAAATCTGCTTACGTACGAGTCTTCTCATCCCAGGAACTTGACAATATCTAGTTCGTCTTAAGCTGACGTGTTCTGTGTTTGAGTAATCGAAATGAGCGATGCTGGTGGGATGCGAGCCGTGCATGAAAGTGAGTGCCATGCACTCTAATCTAGCATCGGTGTATTGAGAATGCACTGTCCAACTCAACCCAGTTTGTCTGATGAGTTGTTAGAATGAAGCTGACCTTCGAAGAGATATTCCGTTAAAAAAACTCGAAAGAGCGGTGTAGCGAAAGCAACGGAAGGGAACCGGTAGATAACCTCTCAGAAAATTCTCAAGCCTAGAAAGTTACGGGGAGTAACACAGTGGTGACGCTGAAGGCAGGGACTTTGCCGACGTGGACGGTTTGGTACTTCCCGTTGGGCAGCTGCACCTCGATGATCAGATCCGGGATGTCCTCTTCCTCGCTAGTGAGAACCTGAGGTTGATGGCTCGACGTTGATGGCCCAAACAGATGAATATCTTACGATGACTTCCAACTCCGTTTTGGCCTCGTTCACGAATGCCACGGCCTCCAGCGTGTCAATAGTGAATATCGAACTTAGCTTGGACTCCGAAACTGTCAAGGAGGTGACCATTCTAGCACCGGGAGCGACGAACTTGGTAATGTGCCCAAAGGCATAGTAAGAAGGATGGATCTGATACGAGCACACTGGAATCAGCGAGGGATGACTATGGTAGATACCACAAGCTGATTTGCATCATCGATATGAATGTGTGCGAAACAGTTGTTGCCAGCATGGTTCGGACCACCACGGTTCTGAAAGACGGTTACCACTCAGTAGATTGCCGTTGGGAAGACCCAATAAAGTTTTGAATGATCATACATCATGTTCTGCTTCTTGGTCGAGGAGGAGATTCCAGTCGACCCATCCAGTTGCTCCACCATGTATAAAGTCAACAATCACACCGTGCACATAGCGAGCAGCTCGCTTCCACGGCGTATTGAAGAAATACGTATCCCAATTGCAAGTGCCTGAGTCCATCCATGTCCATTCTAGGGCTGCTGACATCAGTACTTACTTGCTTCCGTCCCTAGGAGTGCGTATCTGCTGCCATAATTCGCCTTAAACCTTTCTAGTTCATAAACTTGGTCGAAACCATACCAATGCACTCCAGCACCATAGATGTACCTGCATCGAGCGGCTGCACTGATCCCCATCCCTGTATTGTCAACTCACTGTGCAGCCTTGGTATCACGTAGAACGACGTCAGAGACATCCATGAGGAACTCTTTGACGAAGTCCATGTACATGAGCTTGATCCTGCCACCAAAGGTTCTGTTCAGGGTCGGCCCTAGGTAGTCTCTTATGAAATCTCTCTGTTCCGCGGCACTGAATGAACAGGCCTCCCACCAAAAGTTGAAATAGAATCTGAGAGGACGAGTGGCGGTTACAAGCGACTGACCAGCGTCCTACTGAGGCTCATTTTGCTGGGTGACGCCCCAGATAGGAATATTCTTCTTCTCGTAGGCCTGGATCTGAGCAATGGTAGAGTCGGAATATTCTGATGCGGGCACAGCACATACCCATCTAACGAAGTAGTCAGCCCAGACTTGTTTGTATTTTTTGTCCTTCTTGAGGCAGGACAGAGGGCTGCCTATCATTTTGTGATTGCCAGCCTTCATCCAATATGGTGGGGACCATGGGCTTCCTATACACGTAAGATCTGCGGATACGTCACCGAGAGTGTGTCACCAAATAGTTTTAATCCCGTCTCTGCCAAGGCATCGTGCATGAGCTGGATCATCCCGGTATCTTCGTCTCCTTTGAGGGACTCATCGAAATGTTCCAAAGCGAAGTCATCAGATACGTTGTCGAAGTTGTAAGTGTACGGACTAAAATCACATGAGTTGATGGGTATCCTTCCCATAGTGTAGCGTAGCCCATTCTGACTGAAGTATCTACATTGACGCATGATGAACTCCGCGAATGACGCTTAAATGGACGGCTTACAACTCGATAAATTTGCGTTTATCCTCGTCACTTAACTTCTTATAATTGACACCCGATGCTGCTGTAAAGGCCCCACCGAAACCCTCGACTGGTCTCTGGCTCAACGACGCTGAGAACGGACAGACATGAGTCAATGCTGAGACCCAAATGGACCTACCGGAGTTCAACTTAACGTGATAGGTAGCTGCTGAGCCATTCGTGATGGTAACACTACGACGCGTCATATTACCACCATTCTCGGAGGTAATGTACCTATGAAGAATGGGTCCATGGGTCCGATACGAAGACACCTATCTGACTTACGCTACGGCTTCGTGAGAGATCTTCTGAGAACACATTGCTGGAGTCCCCCTCACTGCGCCGCTGTCGCCGCTCGCTCGGCCCATCAGAGTCAGCACTAGGCCCAATATGACGATATGCATGGCGAGAAGATGTCAACTGACCATGAGGCAGGTCTAATAGCATGCCCCGACGTATGGCAGTATCAATCCCCCTGAATCCACTCCTGAACACTCAATGGGGAAGAACGCGTCACGTGTTTCACAAGTGCCTTTCTGCGTATGTGACACACATACTC